AAAAAAAAAAAAAAAAAAGAAGCGCCTATTGTCACAACCTGTAATGGAATATAATCTGCAAAAAAAAACCCACCAAAAAACAAAAACCTGAATCACTATGCTGTACACCTGAAACTAACACAATATTGTAAGTCAACTATACTTCAATAAATATAAATAAATAAATAGATGCAAGTTTATAATATTTTTTAAAAGCACCTATTTTGCCTGGGGCATTTTCCTATCTAGTTGGATCCTCACAACAACATCTCTAGGTCGGGCTTAAAGTGAAAAATGAAGGCGAGAGGGGTTAAGCCATTTATCTAAACTCAGCTGTTAAATGACTGAGTCAGAATTTGAACCCAAGCCAGATGTCTTGCTTCCAAGATCGTTGCTCCCAGGCCAGAAGGGGCTTGTAGAAGGGCAGCTAAATGATTTGGGGCATTAAGGTGGCAGGGAAAGCATTCACTCATTCATTCATTCGTTCACTCTCAATCCATTCATTCCATCGAACAAATATTTACTAAGCATCTACTATGTGCCAGATGCTGTCATAGGTGCTGAGGATGGATATACATCCCTGAAGAAGCAAGCTCCTGCTCTTATGGGCTTAGATTTTAGTCGGAGATAGGAAGCAAATAAACAAATAGGGAAAAACATAACTGTAATAGGATAGAGAGTAAACCAGAGAAGAAGTGGTCAGGGAGGGCCTCCTATGGAAGTCACATTTCAACAGGGACCTGAATGATGAGAAGGAGGTAGAGTGAATGGCATGTGCAAAGGCCCTGGAAACATATACTTGCAAATGTTAAATCCAAGAAGTGACTCCTCTATGACAAATGGTCTGAGAAGCTCTTATATGGATATGGAAACAGGCTGAGAGGTGAAAGGATTGCCTCAAGGCAACACAGCTAAACACTGGCTGAGAAAGGACCAGGACTTTCAATACAGAGGAACAAGGAAGCTGGAAGCCTTCACCCAGTACATCCAATTCATTACCTTGTTCTGACAGAATGCCTCCTAAGCATCTCTCTACTCCATCCACTTGTCTCCCACTTGGATGATCCCAGCAGCCTCCATTCTTGCCCCCATGTTCCATTCACCTAAACCTTTCAGTAGCTCCCCATTCCCATGGGAGAAAATACAGACTCTACAAATTGAGTGACTAAAGAATTATCATCCAACAATAACAATCAGCAGATTGAAAGGGGGCCTAGTATGACCTTGCTGTGACAACAACCAGGAATCTCCAGGGCAAACTAGGAAGGCTAACCACCCTACCCACAATGCCCTGCACCTAGGTCGGGACTAGGATGGGGCCAGTGAGGGGTCTAGGGCGCCAAATTTAAGGAGGCTTTCACTCTCCGATCGAGGCTCTGCACTTGCACCACCCTTCAAATGCGTGCCTCCCTAAAATCTGCACCCTGGGTGCCTCACTTTCCCCCTTCCCTGGCACTGCCTGCACCTCTGAGACTTGCTGTACCTCTCCAGTTACACTGGCCCTTTTCAAGGCCTCTGGAACACATGTCCTCTCCCTCCTCACGGCCATTGCCTGTGCTGTTCCCAGTCATTGCCCACTCAGGGAAACTTTCCTTGATTTCTCCCACCAGGTCAAATTCAGCCATAATTGACGCTCCAAGTGCCACGTGCATCTTCTTCCCAGCACTGGCCACATGCAATCATCTTGACATTATTCCGTGTATCACGTGATTCAAGTTTACCTTGAAGAGCACAGAAGATATTTGCCCTGGACTTTGGGTCACTGTAAAAAGTCATACAGCAAGTGGGAAGCATTTGGGCTCCTAAGGTGGACTCACCTCTGGCGTGAAATTTTCTAGGTTCGAGTCCTCCTTCACCACTCACTTTGCTGTATGACTTGAGGCAAGGGACTTGAACCTCTCCTGGCATCAATTTCCCCTTCTGAAAAGGGGGATGACGGTATCAACCTCATAGGGTTGCTGTGGGGATAAAATGCGTTGATAAACGCTTTGGCACCGAGAGAGAAGGGGACACTAGAAGAGCTGACATTTACCAAGCTGTCATATCCACCTTTTAATCCTCACAACTCAGTGCCACAACTCCTAGGAATAGGCCCAATTTGGAGGTGAGAAAACAGACTCAGAGATAACAGGTGGAGGAGTGACGATTAAAACACAAGCCTCTTATCCATGATGCTCATAAATGTTTACTCGCGTAGATTCCGTGGTTCCCGTGAGGAATTTCTGTCAAGCAAATTGACGATAAAGCGAATTTCTACGCAGAGCGCCTCGCAGGAAGACTAGATTAAGCACGGCAGCCCGAGGCATGCTGGTAATTATAGTCCAGCGGGGTCGCGGAGCCTGCTGGGAGTTGTAGTCCTCCCCGTACTAAAGCGCTCTCGGAGAGGCTCCGCCCCCTCCCCGGTGGTCGCCACCAGTCCCCAGAGCGGGATTCCTCTGGCCCCTGAGCCCCGTTCCCTCTCTGCGCTTGAGCTGGTAGCTTCAGCTGTCGCGGATGTGAGTCCTGTTTTATCGGATTCGTGGGAAGATTAAAATGGCTAATAGAACTAAAGAATTTAGAAAACGGCTTGACACAGAGCGAGTGCTATATAAGTATTAGCTGCTGCCGTTATTACTACAATATTATTATTTCCTCAATGACCCTTGCAAAGTAGCTGTTGTTATCTCCACATTTGTCAGATGTGGAAACTGAGACTCGGTGGAGTAAGATGGCCTTCCTAGGGTCACACAAGAAAGGAGTAAATTCAGGTTTGTAATCCAGTTCTTTTAACTCTGGGGCACTTGATGTTTCCTGTGTGGTGAGGGAGCTGAAGCCTGGAAAGTTTTAAGCAAAACGTAGGCGGGTTTGCATTTTTACAAAGTGCACCCTGGCTGCCTCAAGGAAATTGAATTGGGTGGCAGCAAGACTGGAGATGAGGAGTCCAGAGAGGAGGTGTGTTGGACACTGCTGACTGCCAGTCCAGTCATGACCTTCCGTGCTCACAGAAGCCTGATTTTGCTTAGAAGGCTGAACGTCCAGGTGTGAATCCAAGCCAATCACAGGCACTGCCATTTCCTTTTGCCAGTGGTTGGTCCAGGGGTGTGGTTGTGATCTAGTTCTTTCTGGCCAGTGGAGTTGGGGAGGAGGTGTTTGGAAAGTTTCCCTCTTCTGAAAATAGCTGGGGAGAAAGCCTTTTTTGTCCCCTTTCCTCCTTCCTATATATGAGGTTATGATGGTTGGAGCTGTGGCAATCATATAGATACCATGAGGCACAAGCCCGAGGCTGAAAAGCCAATACACCAAAGATGACAGCACAGAAAGATGGCAAGAGCTAGATAGGACCTGGATGATGTAGTTGAGCAGCTGAACAAATCCCAGCGCTGCCTACCTATAAGCTTCTTGAGACGTGATAATGTCATTACTGCTTAAACTGCTCTTAAAAGTAAGTTGTTATCTGCAGCCAAGGAAGCTGGCACAGTGTTCCAGGAAAGAGATATATGGGCTTGGACTGTTCCACAGCATTCACTCAAGAACACTGTTCTCAACAAGGTGGGAAAACATCCGGGGAGTTCTGGAATCTCTGAGATGTGAAAGGCATGAATAGCTTGAAAAAGTATATTGAAAATATAAAAAATGCAATATACTTTACAAGACCTACAATATCATTTTTTAGAGCAATACTTCTCAAACTCTAATGTGCAGGTAAATCACTAGCAGTTTTGTTTAAATGCAGATCCTGATCCTGTAGGGGTGAGGGGTGCTTGAGATCCTGCATCTCCCACAGCCTCCTAGGGGATGCCGATGCTGAGGCACAGACCACACTTTGAGTAGTGAGGTTGTGGATAACATTATAAAGTTTTATGTTTATATTTCCAATTCATAGTTAAGAAAAAACCCCAAATTCATGCTATAGTTTTTATAATACAAACTACAGAGAGTAAAGCTGAGGAACTGTTGACGGGAAGGGTCATGGGCACCCAGAAGACAGAGAATCCCTGGGGAGGGGTCTGTGGTGGATGGGATGTGCGACACATTTGTTCGTGGCATTTCATGGCACATACATGGAGTTATGCCCCCTGGGGTGTGTCTGAAGTATAGCATTAAGATATTTAATGTTTGATGTAGTTGCTAAAATACACAACCAAAAAGGGATAGGAGTGAGTAGGTAGGGGGTAATGGTACAATTCATTTATTCCTATATTGATGGACATCTGGGTCATTTCCATTGGCTTCTTCCTGTACAATTTATTTCTATAATGTCTGAATTTTGTATCATCTGTTACTTTTGTGGTCAATGAAAAAGGAGTAAAAACCAGGGGTCTGGGATGGGGGGAAAACCAAAAGGATGTTTCCTTAATTTATAAAGAGCCCTTGCAACTCATTAAGAAAAAGAGATCCCAAAGGAAAGATGATAATCATAGCAAACATGTATGGAGCATTTAGTATGTTCCAGGAACATAGTGTTTTGCATATATTAATTCATTTAATCTTCACAATGACCCTATGAGTTAGGTTCCCATCTCACGGATGAGGAAACTGAGACACAGAAAGATTAAATAACTTGCCCAAAGTCACGTTTGTAAGTGGCAGAGCTGGGATTTGAACCCTAAGTTCTTAACCATTACTGTCCTGCCTCCCCCCCAAAATCAGAAAAGAACATGTACAGAGAAAGGAAATGTGATAAGATACCCAATCTCACTCAACATATTGTATTTCAGTGATTCTAAGATGCACATTTTTATTTTCAAACATCTCTGAAATCAGGATGGATGGTACAATCAATGATATCTTAGATTCAATGAAATACAGTAAGAGAAATGCAAATTAAAACCACCTATCAGATTGGCAAAGAACAAAACACTCGATAACACTCTTCGTTGGCAAGGGTGTGAGGCAACTGGCACTCTCAAAAGTTCTGAGAGTTTAAATGGGCATGGCCTTGGTGGAAGGCAATTTTGGCATGAGCTATCAAAATGCAGCACACAGACATCCCTGACCTAGCAATTCGATCCCCAGAAATTGACCCCTCTGGTCTACTGGCCCTTATGAGCAAAGACTTAAGTTCTCTGATGCACACAACAGCAGTTTGTATTACCCCAAAATGAAAATTATCTCAAAATTCAACAAGCGATGAGTTAAAAAAGAAAGGTCCATCCTGAAGTTGGAATGTTATACAGCTGTATAAAGGAATAAGGAAGCATTGATATATACTGTCCCCGAAACATATTAAATGAAAAAAGGCAAGGTGCAGAACTGTGTATATAATATTCTACCTATTGTGTGAAGAGGGGGGACAGACATGCCTCTGTGCCTATGTAAGCGACTTGCAAAGGTCTTATCAAAATGATGGGCTCTGGGGAAGAGAAATGAGGGCTTGGGGGAAACATGAATTGGGAGCACTCTAGACCTGGAGTTGGTAAATTTTTTTCTGTAAAGGGCCAGAGAGTAAATATTTTAGGTTTTGTGGGTCGTTTGGTCTCTTGACTCTGCTGCTGTATTGAAAAAGCAGCCATAGACAATATGCAAATGAATGGCTGTGTGTCAGTAAAACTTTACGATTGACACTGAATTTGAATGTCGTGTGTTAGGAAATATTCTTTATTCCCCCCCACTATTAAAAAGAAAATGCTAACGGGGACAGTAGAAAAACAGGTGGGACAGATCTGGTCTACTGGCCAGTCAGCTGACCCCTGTATTGTTTATTATTCCTTACCTTATGCATGCATTACCTATTACAAAATCATGTTTAAAAGGTTAGCTTGAAATTTTTAGATTTATCAAAAGGGGGTGGGGTTAATGTTGGGAGCAGGCGCCCTGCCCAGACCCCCTCTAAGGACAAGTCAGCAAAGGGGGGGCAATGCATGACGTTTCCCAGTGGAGCTGGAAACCCATATATTTGCTCTGCACTGCCACCTGCCCCACTCCACCACCAGATAGCAGCACAAATCCACCCAAAATCAGGCCGTCCCTGCACCAGCTGGGAAGTTACAGGCAGAAATTGGCCTATATACCTGTTCTATTTTGCCCACGGTATGTTTAAAGAATGGAGCCAGCATTTAAAAAATCTGGATTTTCTGGCTCCTCTTTAATCAACTGATATGAGTAGCAGCTGCCCTCTGGGGCCTGATGTCTTCAGGGCATCTCAGTCCTCAGTGTTAGCTTCTGTTTCTCATCCTGATGTGTTGCTGCTTTCTCATACGAGACACGTTTCTCACTGGCCACCTGCCTCCTCACCTCCCTCCCTCCACTGGGGCTGCAGGTGCGTGTGAAAGCTGCTAGAGCTCAGCGTTAGATCAGGGCTCAGATTCCAGCCCTGCTACCTACCATCTGTGTGACATTTGGTATGTTATTTGACCTCTGTGCCTGTTTCCTCATTTGGAAAAAATGGGGCTAAGTGTACTCACCTCTCAGAGCTGCAGGGACTGCTTGAGGGGACCCACGCACGGAGCTCTCCGCATCTGGCCTGTAGTAAGTGTTCAGTAGGTATTAGCATTTCCCGCTCCCTGGCCCTCAATAGGGACTTTTTGGAATCTTCTCATCTCACAAATGACCCCAACTTTCCCAGACCTGACCCAAAACATATGTCCCTCTGGTTTTGAAAAGTATTTTTCCAGTCCTTGGGATTCGGGAGCAGCAAGATGTTCTGAGTGTGAGGCCTGGCTCTGCTTCACTAGCTGTGTGGTCTTGGGCAAGTCACTTCACCTCTCTGGACTCATGCTGTTTGTTCTTGCTGGCTTCTGGGGGAACTAAAACATTGGTAGGGCCTAGAAATATACCCCCAGCAGAGCCTGGGAATAGGAAAGCCACCCCTGCAGCCCCAAGGCTGCTTACCTGGTGCTGATTTTGGCTGTCTGCCCCACCCACTGCACCTTAAGTTTTCTTTTGGGAACCATCCCTCCCTCCTCTCATCCTGTGACTTGGGAAGTGTTGATCCCACTTCTGCAACTCCAGGTGGATATTTCAGCCCTGGCCAATCAGAACACTTCACTACGACCACAAGGAGTTTGTTCAGGGACAGGCACATGACCCAATCCAGGCCAATAAGAGCCTGCCCTGGGGCTTTTGCTGCAGCTGCTGGGAAGGGAGACTTTTTCTGAGGTGCTGAGCGGGTCCAATGTCAAGTCTCAACTCAGAGAAAAAGAGAGCTAGACAGAGAGACCAAGTTCTGATGAATCATGTGAGCCCCTGGGTCCTGCCAAACCTTAAGTCAGAAACACCTCTGACCTTTTCAGTTATATGAGTTAATAAAATTATTTTAGCTATTAATTTTTGCTTAAGTTATGGTTTCTGTCATTTAGAGTTGAAGAATTCTAATACCCCTTCCTTTTGTGGTCCCCTCAGACAGTTAAAAATCAAGTCTAGTGGCGAGCAAACTTTAAAAAAAACTTTATCTGTGACTGCTCTAAAGAGTCTTTTATCATTTCTCTGTCCCCAACAAGTTTTTGTTTTTCCTGGTTACTATTATAGCAACTATCTAGCCCAGACTAGATATTGATTGTAAATCTGTTGTGTTCACTACTGAATCCCAGTGCCTGGCACATAGGAAATGCCTCATATTTGTTCAATGAATACATGAACGAGATACTTGTTTAAAATGTCCAGTCTCCCGACTTGCCTGTCTGTGAGGTTCCATACAAGTAGTTCCTATTTTTCAAACCTCATCTTCCAGTTTCCCCTTGCTCACTCCCATCCAGCCACACTCTCTTAAAAACCCCAGGTTTGTTCCTGCCTCAGGGCCTTTGCACTTGTCCAGCCAGGAAGGCTTTCCCTCCAGTTCTTTCCCCATTTGGTTCCATCTCCTCCTCCAGGTCTCAGCTCAGATGTCACCTCCTAAGAGAGGGCCTCCTTGACCACCCTGCCAAAGCAGCCTCACCCTACCTTTCTGATGTAATCCCAAGATGTTTGACTTTCTTTACAAATCACCGTCTGAATGTCATGTGCATTTAAAGTTTATTGTTTCTCTCCCCAGGAGGTCAGCTCCATCAGCATAAATCCTTGTTTGTTCACTTCCATGCCCAGGTGTCCAGGCCAGAGCCTGGCACATATTAGGTGCCGATAAACATTTGCCAAAGGAATTCACCCATAAGGATCAGCCTTTGTTACTCTATCACCATGATTTTCTGCATGAAGACCATTCCTCACCAAATCACGGGTCCCTTCCAAAAGTGTTTGGAGCAGATGTCAACATTGATTCACTGTCTTAGATGACAAAGACCTCATACTTAGCCCAGCATTGCGGCTGAAGCTGGGACTAGGGTAGGGGTGGGGCCTCACCCTCCAGGCTCCTTACTTTCCTTCCCCCAGGCAACCAGGAAATACGAGGCAGCGAGGTTAAGTAGACTCTTGCTGCTTTGTTATAAATATATTATGTACATCCAAAACATGACATTAAAATATTACTCCGTGTTACAGAAAAGATATTAAGGCTTTCTATTATTTACATTAAACAAGCAAGCACCGTTAAAAAAAAAAAATAACCGAAACAAAAAAGCCCCACTCTTCCTTCTCTGACATACCCCCGGCTAGAGGGGACACTGTGTCCCCTTCCAAATGACAAAGACCCTTTGCAGGGGCTGTGTCCTTCGAAGACATCATCAGCTCTGGCTGAAATCACATTGGCAGATGGTGGAGGGGTGAGGAAGAAGCGGGGTCCAGACTTGATCAGGAAATTCCAGCCTCGTCTGGCCAGCTGCCCCCAGACCCTTGCTGCACTTTGCCATCCTTGGGTGGACAAGCTAGGCTGAAGGTGGTGACTGGGGCTGTCTATCCACCCAGGCCTTGGGGGTCAGTCTGCAGGTCCATGGCAGGGTAATGCTCCAGGGACAGTTAGGTGTGCCTGGGGGCTCCTAGACCACTGAGGGCAAAGAGGAACTGACGACTCAGTGCCCCAATACCAGCCACGCTGAAGGGCTGCCCAGTGGGGCAAGGGGTGGTGGGAGTGTGGGGAGTTGGTGAACTTTTCCTCAACCCAAAGGATGGCTGGCAGGGCGGGGCTCTTTTTTTTCTTTTTTTTTTTTTGCAGAGTCAGGTTTGGCAGACAGAGCAGCTCAGGTGGCTGGGGAGGGGTCAAGGAAAGAAAATGAAAAAAAGGAAATGAAAAAAATCAGTGGCTCAAGTATTCTGTGTCACAGCGGGTGGGCTGGGGGTGCCTGGGCCCAGCCCAGGAGGTGTCCTCTCCACCTGGATGGGCCAGTGCAAGGAGGCTGGAATTTGGCAGATGGCTTCGGTTTGGGCGAGCTGGGTAAGGTTGGCAACGAGGTGGTGGCCCGGAGGAGTTATTTGATCTTCTGTGCCCATTTCATGTCGTCTGCCCGAGGCTTCTCGCCTGTCAGGCCCTGGATAATGTCCTCTAGGCGTCTCCAGAAGCCCATCTTCTCGAGAGGGTAGTTGAGCCAGCCTGCAGTGGAAACAGGGCAGGGGGTGTGTGTGGAGGGGTTGAATGGGAGAGCAGCAGTGAGAGGACGTAAAGAGAGAGCTGGCCCTGCCTCGGGCAGGGGAGGAACTGAGAGTAAGTCTGCAGGGGGCAGGGGACAAGGACTGACCGAGGAATCTTGGGACAGGGGCTTCCCACCAATGGGTTTAGAGGCTGCTCAGATATGCCTTCATCCCCTCATTCACCTTCTTATTGAGTGCTTACTAATGCCAGGCATGGAGGCAGTGTTTCTTATCATTTGGCTCTAATGCTACCTCTTCCAGGAAGCCTTCCCTGACTACCGCTTAGCAGTGCTCCTGTCCTGTCACGTCACCCTTTCTTATTTCTTTACAGCTTTTATGATATCCTGTAACCAATCTCATTAACTCGTCACCTCCCTGTTTTGTGTTGGATTTTATCCCCAACTCCCAACTAGAATGTCAGCTCCGAACAGTAGAACCCCATGTTGTTTCACTGTTGATCCCACTGCCTAGGATGATGCCTGGCATATGGTAAGTGCTCAATGAACAGTGCTCATAATCTTATTTAATCTGTATTACAGTCTACCACCTGAACCTCGAAGTAGATACTATTATTAGTCCCACTTTCCACACGAGAAGACTGAGTCTTGGGGACTTCCCTGGTGGCACAGTGGTTAGGAATCCGCTTGCCAATGCACAGGACACAGGTTCAAGCCCTGGTCTGGGAAGATGAACATGCCGTGGAGCAACTAAGCCCACGCGCCACAACTACTGAGCCTGCACTCTAGAGCCCATGAACCACAACTACTGAAGCCCATGCACCTACAGCCCATGCTCTGTAACGAGAAGCCTGCGCACTACAACAGAGTAACCCCCGCTTGCCCACAACTAGAGAAAGCCCACATGAAGCAACGAAGACCCAACGCAGGCAAAAATAAAATTAATTAATTAATTAATTAATTAAAAAAAACAAACAAACAAACGAAGACTGAGCCTTGGAGGGGTGTTTCCCAATTAGTATATGGCTAAGCCAAGACTGATCCCAGTTCTGGTTGAGCAGTTAAATGATCTCCACAACAGCCTAAATTCTAACCCCTCCAACTGCTCCTAGAGAGCATGACTTTAGGGTGTACAAAAAATGTTTTTTTGTGGCTCTCAGTTCTGCTTCCAGAAAGGCAAAAATCCCCAAGAAACAAAAACAAAACAAAACAACCCCCCCAAAACCAAACACCCCAACCCCTGCCCCAAAACCAGTAGCTGTAGCTTACTGAGTACCTACTATGTGCCAAGCACTCGGCATCTGCCACCTTGCCACTCACACCCCAGCCCTGGGAGCTGGTATGTGAAGGAGGTAGCTGTAGCCCCATCTTGTGAATGAGAAAAATGATAACCAGGGAGGCTTGTGAGCCTCTGCAAGTCACATATGGAGGAGCTGAAGGCTGAACCCAAGTTGGTCTGACTTAACAGCATGTGTGGTATACTTAACCTTAAAAAGATACCCAGCTGCCCCTGGAAAACCTGGTCGCCTTACCTCATCTCACCATCAGTACCTCTTTGGCACTGGCCCATTAACTACCAACAGCATGTGGGCCTCCTTACTACTCCTGGGTCACCTGTTCCTGCCGCAGGGCCTTTGTGTACTTGCTGTTCCCTCTGCCTGGACTGATCTGTCCCTATTTATCTGCAGGGAACCCCCCACACTTTTTCCAGATTTCCGATCTCCTTTATAAACAGCTACGCCCCCTTTCCCCATGACTCTCTGCACTTCATCCTGCTTTGTTTGACCTCACACCATTTCTCACACCTGGACTCTGCCATCTCTCCGACTCTTCTACCCCTCATGCCTCTCACTGAAGCCACACTAGCCTCCTTGCTGCTCCTCAAACAAACCAGGCATGTGGTTCCTGCCTCCAAGGCCCTTCACCTACTGCTCCTGCTGCCTGGAGAGCTCTTCCTCCAGATCTGCATGACTCTCTCTCTCAGTTCAAATGTCACCTTCTCAGTGAGGCCTTCCCTGACCACCCTATTTAAAGGGTGAAGCTCCCCATTTCCCTCTCCTACCCTCTGCATTATTTTCCTCCATAGCAGTTAGGACAATCAGATATAGTACTTGTTTTTTAGTGCTTGGAATGTCCCCTCTTAGAATGTGAATGCTATAAAGGTAGGGGTTTTTGCCTGTTTTGTTCAGTGCTACGGCACATAGTAGGTGCTCAATAAATATCTGCTGGATGGATGGGTGGTTGGAATCACAACTCCATGAAGGGGGTATGTGTGTGTGTGTGTGTGTCTGGTTTACTGCTGTGTCCTTGGCACCTAGAAGAGTGCCTGGCACGTAGTAGATGCTCAAGAAATGTGTGCTCTGAGAGAATGTTCCTGCAGGACTGCACCACCTCCCACTGTGACCTGTGCCCCTTGATCCTAAGGATGGAGCTGCGGTCAGAGTGGGGGCAGCCCATTCCACGCTACCCTATAGCCGCACCTGTGGTGATGCAGAAGTAGGTCTCGTGGGGTGAGACGTGGTGGATGCGATGGTGTTTACGAGGCAGGATGACATGCCAGTCCTGTAGGAGGACGACCCAGCGCGGCAGCCCAAAGTACGTGTGTGACCACTTGTGGATCTGGTTGGTGAAGGTACCGAAGATGATCAGGCAGAAGACGAAGCATTCCCAGGGGTACAGCTGTTCCAGGACTTCTGCAGCGTGGGTAGAGGCGGGGTGACCATAGGCCCCATACAGCTGTCCACAGGGTGGGGGCCCACTGCCAGCCTGGCCCAGCTCCCTTCCCAGGATAGCACCCAGGCCTCTTTCCAACCTCCCAAGTGGACTCGGGCAAGCTCAGACTCCCCTCTGGGTCTCAGTCTCCTCTTCTGCTCAGTGGGCAGAATGGAATAAGCATAGGTAATAGTTAAGAATACGGGCTCTGGAATGAGGCAGAGCTGGGCGCAGATCCCTACTCTGACATTTCTTTTTCTTTTCAGGCCATGTCGCGTGGCTTGTGGGATCTTAGTTCCCCGACCAGGGATTGAACCTGGGCCCTCGGCAGTGAGAGCGCGGAGTCCTAACCGCTGGACTACCAGGGAATTCCCCCCTGCTCTGACATTTCTTAACTGTATGAACTTGGGTCAACGACTCTACCTCTTTGAGTCTGAAGCTCCTCAACAACGAAATGAGAATAAGTCTTTGTCCAGATTCCCTAGAAGCAGAGCCTGAGACAAGGATTCATGTGCACGTGAGTTATCTGACTGGGGGTGGGGGTGGGGGTGGGCGGGAAATCCTCTCTTCTGGAAAAACATCTGAGGGAGTGAGGAAAGCAGGACAGGGCAGGGGAAGAGTTAAGCAAAGATGGGTGAGGGGAGTCTTGTCTCAGCCTGATCCTGGTGGGGTGTGGGGGGCTCTGAAATGTTAATGACTCCATAGAGTTGGTCCTGCTCAGAGGCCAGGGGGCTGGCTTTTGCAGGCTTTTTTTTTTTGTCACTGGCTTCAGGCTTATCCCAAGGGAAGAGGCGGGACCTGCCCTGGCAGTTCTCAGAAGGGGCAGCTGGATGCTCACAGCAGCTGGGGGACGGGTGTCCCCATTGGGGAAGAGGAGGTGGGCGGGGCAGCACCCCCAACACCATAGACATTCATGCAGCAGGGCTGCTCTAAAGATCAGCACCGTGTCAAACTGTTAGAACAGGATCTGGCACAGGGGAAGGACTCATCCCCCACCTGACAGACGAGGTCGCTGAGGTTCAGAGAGGTGAAGTGACTTGCTTTGGCACAAGTTTCCTCCCCCAGGTAGTCAGGGCAGAGGTCTGAACTCAGGACTGGGTTGGCAGGCTACATATACTCTTTCCACTAAGCCCAGAGAGCAAAACCAGAAGCCCTCAGGGCCAGGGAGGTAATTCAAATGAGCAAGGCAGGCCAGGCATTATACAGCAGGGAGTAGTGGGGACTGTGGCAAAGTGGAAAGCGTGCATCTCTGTCTAAGGGGGCGCCCCTGCGGCTCAGCTCTGGCCCAGTACAGCCAAGGGGGAACAAAGACCCAGGGTGGCCAGATCGGATTGTTCAAGAGTAGCTGGAAACATAGATCTTTATGTCAAATATCCCAATTTTACATGAGGGAAACTAAGTAAAAATTTTTCTAACACGGTGAGGGGCAAACACACACAAGCTACAGGAGACTCATGGGAGGGGTGCGTGTGTGCCTGTCCCCGATGGCTCCCTGAAGGCCCACCAGGGGGCACTCTTACCTGGGCTCTGGGTGCGGAACTTGTAGGCCATGTTTAACAGTGGTAGCAGCGTCACCAGGCAGTTGTCCCCATTGGTCTCAATGAAGTCGTGCCGTGTAATGGCTGTCGGGTCGATGTGATGCTCCCGGAATGGCCGGATGAAAGCCTGGGTGTGGTAGTGGGGCGGGAGGGGACCCATCCGACCAGTCAGCCTATGGTGGTCAGCCACTCTCCCTGACCTCCTGCACACACACTCCGCGCGCGGGCTCACCTCCTTGCCTTTGAGATGCTGTCCCACCACGCCACTGCTGCAGATCCCACCCAGCCTTCAGGGTCTGGGTCTAACAGCTTTAGCGCAAGATGGGTCGAAATGACCTGGTGGGGACCTTGGGCTGGTACTTACCCCTGTGGGCCTCAGTCTCCTGACCTGGGCTATGGGGGGGGTTTGGAGACAATCTCCACCCTCCTTTCCTACCCTAAGACAATTGAGGAGGCCCCTCCCAGTGACAGGCAGGACCCTTTCTTTCTTTCCAACGTCCAGGCCCCTCCTTCTGGTAACAGCCTCCCCTTCTTTTAGTACCAGCTGTTGCAATGGGCTGACTCCTCCGCCCCCTAGTTAAGAGTGATCACGGGAACCTGGCCTGGCCAATCAGAGCACCCCATCCCTCTGGTCACCGTGACTGGATGAAGGATGGGTGTGTGATCCAAGCTGGGCCAATGGGAATGAGCCATGGGACTCTGGCCGAAACTGTGAGAAAGGGGAGTTCTTCTACTGGGGGCACTAAGCTGGGAGGATGGAAGTCTAGGCAGCTGTGAGCCATCCTGGCCACCTTATGGGGAAAGCCTACACGAGAGTGGAGCCAGCAGAGACAGACATGGAGAGGGACTGAGTCCAAAGAATATGGTCTGTCCGTCTCACTGGACCCAGCCATGCCCTAATTTGGCTCTACTCCTAAAATTTTCATTACACCAATCAGTAGCTTTCTTTGGTTAAGTTTGTACCAGATTTTCTACCACAATCAAAAAAGTCAGACTGACTCAAGATAAATTTCAATGGAAACAGTGAGGTGTAGCAGGGCAGGCAAAGGAGAATAAGATGTGGCGTGGTCCCCAAACTCAAGGGGTTCTGGTGAGGTGGACATGTATCAAAGCTTTCTGTCCCACGCCTGATGCTTCCAGAAAATCCCAGGGGATTCTTGTTCTAGTCTTGGAGGAGGGGCATGGGGGTCAGGCTGGAACCACAGTTCCCTTCTTTCAGATAGGGAAACAGGCTCAGAGAGGAAAGGGGACTCACCCAAGGTCAGACAGCCCGACCTCCTCCTGGAGGAGATGGGCTGGGCTTCGGGGCTGGGTCAACATACGCACCTTCCCCACGATGGGCAGCTCCACGGAGCCCCAGGTGTCGGCTCCCCAGTGCACCAGGCCAGACAAGAAGTCAGCAATGAGAGCCCCTGCAACTGTGGACAAGAAGAGCATGAGCCGGGGGGGTGGGGGGGGCGGTGGACAAGAGGGAGATCCCTGCCCACTCCCCACCCCAAATCAGGAAGTCACTCACTTGCTCACTCATTCACTCATTTGTTGGGGCAGAAGGTGTCCCTTCTCTACTTGGGACACTTTGTTCCCTGTGAATGGAGTCTCAGGAATAACATTCCTGGCCTCAATCTGTCCCTTTACTTGCTCTTCCCCAGGGAGATGTGGGGCCTCATTTGCTCGTGAGTCTGGAGAGAGTAAACTGGGCATGCTCAGATCAGCCCAACCTTTCCCTATTAGGGACCAACTGTCCCTTTCTCTCTGACCCCCAATCACCCCACGTAGGGAAGCCCACTCTGCCCCAGTGCTGCTGGTAACCAGATGAAAATGTCCTTCTGGGGTTTGGTGTCGGGAAGTACCTTAGGTCCACATGGAAGCCACGTTCCCTGCAACCTAACTTTTATCAACAGTAAGTGTGGTAATTTGGCCTCCAGCAGCCTTTTCCTTGTCTTCGTTCTGAATTTGTTCAGAACTGGAGTGGAGTCCCCTCAGAGACCCCCAAACCATTCGCTCACTTGAGGGTTCAGTATAATACAGAGATTACGTGCTGTTACATCTGGACTCACATTCCAGCTGTCACTCACTAGCTGTGTGACACTGGGCATGTTACTCAACCTCTCTGTGCCCCAGTTTCCTCTAGATGGATGCGAATGATGATGATTAAAAAAAACACAGCAGCTACCATTTATCGAGCACTTTCTCAGTGCCAGACACAAGTGCTTTACATGCTTGATCTTAACGAATTCTCACAATCTGTTAGAAGTTGGTACCATTTTTATTCTTACTTTATAGGGGCGGAAACTGAGGCTTGGAGAACAGAAATAACTAGACTGAGGTCACATAGATGGCAAGTGGCAGAGATGGGCTCTTAACCTGCCTTGGGGTCCAAATATAACACAGAAGGATGCACCACGGTACTGTCCACATGCGGAAACCGAGGTGGAGTGGCCAGCAAGCTGCCCAAGGTAACACACCAGTGCCACCCCCATCACGCTCCCCTCCCTCTGTGTCTCAGCCCTACTGGCATATTCCCCTTCCCTTACACCCCCCTACATGCCTCTGGGTCTCTGCATTTGCTCTTCGCTCTGCTGGAACATTCTTTCCCAAGAGGTAACACAGCTCACTCCCTCACTTCCTTCAGATCTTTGCCTCAAAGGTCCTCCGGGGACACCTGATCTAAAATTGTAACCATTCCCATCTTCCAGCATCTCCTAGCACCTATCTTCTTTTCTGAGCACCTATCACCTTGGACTTCATTTCTGTTTGTTTACTGTCTCCCCTACAAGAATATCAGCTCCACAAAGACAGGGATTTTAGTCTTGCGTTTATGGCTACACTCCAATTCCTCGCACATAATATGTGTATGGTTCAGTAAATAAACATTCGTTGAATGAATCAATGTAAAGCATTAAGTACAGTGTGGGGCACATAGTGAGCCCTCAATACATATTATTATTGTTGCTATTCAGTCATTCAGTCTATCAAGTGACATTCTATGAGGACCTACTGTGTGCCAAGCTCTAGAGCCAGAGATGCATCAGACATTGAGCTCACATCGTTGGGACAGAGATATGGGGGGCGGGGGAGGAAGCTGTAAACAAATACACAAAACAAATGCAGTTTTAAGTGCTGGTAAATGCAGCCCACTGGGTCACATGACTTCAGGCAACCCCACCTCCCCTCCCAGACTCAGTTTCTCGGTGTGAACTGGTTGTCCAAGGGTCAGCTGGGCCATTTAAAGGTTATTCAAGTTCTGCTAGGTCCCATAGCCCCTTGGTGACAGGGGACCAGGGCCCTGAGGTACTGTGAAGGCTGAGAAAATCCCCTAGATGCCTCCCTGGAGAGCAGGACTCATGAGCGAGGGAGCAAGAGTGAGTGTGTGGGTCACCGTGGACGTGCAGCTCTGGTGTGTGGGCCCGAGATACAGGTGGCTGTGAATGAAGGCTTTCCAGAGGCCCTGGAGCATCCACCCCACATATGCCAAACATGGGAGGGATGGCAGGGGGCAGGGGAGATACAGCTGCATACATTGCAAGCTCCAGGTGACCAGTGGACTGCCAGGTGGGCCTCCTGGCATGCAGAAGCCAAAGGACAGGGCGGGGAAGGGGGTGACACTGCATGGGTGGCTGGGCTGGGGAGAGGGGAGGGCTTGGCAGGGCTTGAAGGCCGGTGCACAGAAGGCCCCGCCCAGGGCTAGGGAGTCATGCTCCTTAGTGACGGTGCTGGGAGGGTGGACCTGGGCTGGAGAAGGGGTTGGGGAATCTGGGGAAGCCTAGGGCATTTGCACTTGCTGTTCCTCTACCTGGCACCCCACCCTCTCCCTGAAGATCCCCGAGTGGCTGGCTCCGCTTCAGCCTTCTAGCTTAGAGCAAACATCACCAACCCCCTGGCAAAGCCCTCCTCCCAGGCAAGTGCTCTCGGTCACATCTCCCTGCTTTACTTCTTTCACAGCACTTGTCACCATTGAGGTGACAGCCTCATTTCTTTTCCCCACTTCTCTGATGAAGAAAGGGGCTCAGGGAGGTTGAAGCATCCCCCCTGGTCCCATGGCTTGGAAGTGGCAGCCCTGGGATGGGAAGAGGTGAGTCTACCAGCCTCCAAACCCAGCATGCTTTCACGCCCTTAAACTGTACCTCAGTAGGTCCAGGGGCATTAATAGAGCTCCTACTGCAAACTACACAGGATGCTGTGTACACACTGCCTTGCGTCTACCAGGAGGGACTAGAGGCACTGTGGCCAAGAGCTAAGGGGGAGCTAGATCAAGGGTTGGGGGCCTCATCTCTTGTTACCATATTGCTGTGTGACCCTGGGCAAGCCCTTTGCCCCCTCTGGGCCTCAGCATCTTCACTTGCACAGTGAAGGGTCAGCTGAGGTGCCTCTTGAGCCCCTGTCCCAACAGCTTGGACTAATCCTGCCCCTAAATGCTACCTTCAGGAGAACACAGCCCCCCAGCAGTCCCCCTAGTGCCTCCCCACCCCTGTTCCATGCAACCACCGATCCGCTTCCCATAATTATACTTTGGTTTGGCCAATTCTAGAACTTTATACAAATTGATTCTTATGGTATGTGCTTTTTTGGGTCTAGCTTCCTTCACTAGCATAATGCTTCTAGAGTCATCCATGTGGTTGTATCAGGAGTTCATCCTTTTTATTGCTGAGTAGTATTCCACCATCTGGATGTACCACAGTACATTTATCCGTTTTGCTCTTGGACGACTAGGTTGTTTCCAGGTTGGGGCTGGTATGACTCAGGCTCCTGTGAACATGCATTCACAAGCCTGTGTGAAGATCTATGCCCTCATCTTCTTAGGGTAAAGACGTCAGCTATCTATCTATCCATCCATCCATCCATCCATTTATTTATTTATTTATTTATTTTTACTTGACATTTATTGAGCACTTATAGTTACCAGGCTCTGTGCCAGAACCTTAAACGTTTTATCTCTCTTAATCCCTAAACTGTACCAAGGCCAGCCCTAAGCTGGTTATACATCTTATCTCCTTAATCGTCCTAAGCATTTAATCCTTACAGATGATAACAATGATAATAAAAACATTAGAAAAATGTTTTGTGATCACGGTTAACATTGGGGTGCTTCCTGTGTGCTGGGTGCTTTGTCAAAGGTGTTAAAAAGTGCATCATCAGGTGTATAACTCCCCACAGATTAAATATGGGCTGTACACAGTGACTTCTCTCCAAGGGGAATACAGTACAGAAGCGGGGCGGGGGGGTGGGGAAGAGAGTAACTTTACAGTGGAGAAACCTGACAAATACCACTTGGGCCAGGTGGTCAAGGTCAACATCATGGTGATAAGTCATGCTAACAGTACATAACCTTTGCTACGATGTGATGAAAATGGCACTTGACCTCTGAGCGCTTCCTCCCCAAGACACATAACCCACTAAGAAAAACACCAGACAAATTCCAGCTGATGGGCATCCTACAAATCCTACAAAATGTGAGCACTCCTCCAAACTGTTCAGATCACTGAAAACAGGGAAAACCTGAGAAACTGTCACAGCTAAGGAGCCTCAAGGGACGTGACAAGTAAATGTGATGTGGAATCCTGCATGGGATCCTGGAACAGAAAAAGGACATTGGCTAAAAACTAAGGACATTTGAATAAACTATAGACTTTAGTTCATAATAATGTATCCATATTGGTGTATTAATTGTAACAAACGTATGATACTAATATAAGATGTTAATAATAAGGGAAATTGGGGGCAGGGCGTATATAGGAACTCGATGTACTATCTGCTCATCTTCCGTAAATCTCAAGCTGTCCTAAAAAATAAAGTCCATTTAAAAAAACGTGTGGGCTTCCCTGGTGGCGCAGTGGTTGAGAGTCTGCCTGCCGATGCAGGGGACGTGGGTTCGTGCCCCAGCCTGGGAAGATCCCACATGCCGCGGAGCGGCTGGGCCCGTGAGCCATGGCCACTGAGCCTGCGCTTCCGGAGTCTGTGCTCCACAACGGGAGAGGACACAACAGTGAGAGGCCCGCGTACAGCAAAAACAAACAAACAAACAAAAAAAACGTGCATTATCTCAGGCACGTCCATTGTGATAGGCCCCACCACACCCCACTTGCCAGAGGAGGAAAGGAGACCTGAAGGGTGAGGGCTGCCCTGAGGCGGTCAGGGCTGCTGGCAAGTGGCCAGAGACCAAGGCAAGGGCCATTCATGACGATGCTGAGCCTTCACGTCCACATCTGGGAAATGGGGATATTAATGGTACTTACTTCACTTAACTACAGTCAGTTAATAACAGTGGGCTAATCCTTGGGACATAGTAAGTGCTCCCCAAATGTAGCTACAGTTAGTAGTTAAATATTACTCCTCTCTCTGAGCCTCAAGCCCCTGGCCTTGTCAGGCTGCTGAGCAGGGAGGGATGTGGGCTTTAGGCAGACGTCAGGAATTTTTTTTGGAGAGACAGAGCCCTCCCCCAGCCTAAGGGAGGAAATGGCTCGGTGATCTACGGGGCGGTGGCTGTTTCTAGAGCAGCAACTCCAGGCCTTCAGGCCTGCTGCCCAAGTCCTCTTTAATGGGGGTAGAGGTGGCAGAGGCGGGCACACAGAAGCTTCTTTGTCCCAATGCTGGTGTCAGCGCCTGGTGGCTGGCTCACTCTGGGGGCAGCTTGGGCCTAGTTACCACCCTGCCTGCAGGACACTGGGACAGCATAGGAGATGATGATTCACTCCAGGCTACCCTGACTCACCAGGTGACCTTGAGACAGTCCCTGGGCCCCTTGGGGCCTCCATCTCCCCACAGGTCACCCGGCTGGGACTTCTTTGCGCCCCGCCCACCTCAAGGCCTGGTGTGGAGACAGAGGGGCTGAGACAGAGGCTGGTCCCTACAGTCCTGGGGCCAAAGCCTGTCTTTACCACCTCTCAGCTCAGATCCCGTGGAGACTTCGCACCTGACCCACGAGGCTGGACGTGACCTGGGGCCCTGTGAGTGCTGACCTTTGCATTCACTGTGCCCCCCGCCTGGAACCCCCTGCTCCCACCACCCATTTGTCTGCCAGAAACTCCCACTCACTCCTTCAGGCACTGGCTCAGAGCCCTCACACTTTCCCTCCAGTTTCCCCAAGTGCGGCAAATAGCTCGGGGCTCCCGGGGCCACTCATTTATTACTCATTCACACAGTCCTTGTCAAGGTCACTAATGACCTCCACGGGGCCAAATCCGGTGGTCCCCTCGCTGCCCCATCTTGCTGCTCTGCTTGGCTGGCTGCTCCCAGTTGATCCCTGAGTCTTCTGGAAACACATTCTCCTCTCGGCCTGTGCAAGCCTGCCCGGTCCCCCTTTCTCCCCCTTGGCTGGCTCTTCCTCCTCTCCCTGTCCCAAGCACTGGAGGCCTCGGGGGGCCTCTTCTCTGCTCACACACAGTCCCTCCGCCCCACCCCAGGGCCCTCTGCCAGCATCTGGGCTTCAAACACCATCTCTACTCTCAGGACACCCAGATTTCCGGATTTCCAATTTCCTGCTCAACACCTTCCCTTGGCCCTCAGGCAGGCATCCCAAGCATCTCCCCTCACGCAGGTCCTCTAACCTCCTCCCGGTCCCTTCTTCCATAGTTCAGGCCACTGACCCCTCCCCCCTCATCTCCACAGCCAACCTGACAGCACATTCTGGCGCTCACCTTTCACAGCTCACCCAGAATCTGACGACTTTTCACCACCTCCACTGCCCTACAGGGTTCCAGGCCACCACCTTCACCTCCTCTCTGGCCCTCCCTGCCCCCATCCATCCTCCCTGCAGCATGAGATGATGTCAGCTCCCTGTGGGAAAATCGCCAGTGGCTTCTCACGGCCTGTAGAATAAAACCCTCAATCCAGACCATGGCCTTCAAGGCCTTACACGACCTGCCCCCACTGCCCCCAGCTGTCCCTCAGCTGCCACCAACTACTTTTCCTTTGGTCAGTTTTCTCAGGCCACACGGGCCTCCTCTCTATCCTCCAAATGCTCAGGGCTCACCCCAGCCTCGAGGCCTTTGTAGCACTTGCTGTTCCCTCTGCCTGGAACACCCCAGGGACAACTGTTTGCCTCCCCTCCCTCACCTCCTTCAGGTCTCTGTGCAAATGTCACTTTTCCAGAGAGCCTTCCCTGACCTCTTACCTCTCCTCTTCCCCGCCAGCTCCCCTATCTTGACTTTGCTACCCAGGATTGCGTCATCTGTCTGTATTTATTAACTGGGCACCTTTTCAGGGCTTCTGGCTCCCTTGGTTTCTGGGACCTGCCAGGGGCACCAGAACCTCTTGGGAGACGGCAGCAGGTGGGCTGTGTAGGCTGGCACGGTGCCCTTACTTCCGGCATGTCAACACACAAATCAGGGCAGCTACTTAAATCCATTAGGAACTGTGCAAACACTACTATCAGGGGATTGTCTGCCCTTATCAGCCCAGAGGCAAAGGTGCTGGGTGGAAGGGCTACTATCACAGGCAGGAGCAAAGTCTCCTGGGTCTGGTCCCAACTGACCAGGGAGGCAGCGACCTGCCTGGGATGCCCACCCTCCCGGTTCACACAACATACACCTGGGGCTCTGGTGCTACTGATCCTCTGCCCAGTCTGGGCCCACTGCCTAGAACACCCTTTCCTCCTAGTGCCAACTGGAGGCTGCATAGTCCCCAGCCAGGTCTGGATATGAAATCCCAGACTCTGCTGCTGCCTGGGTTAGGGTCGACGGGCAAGTCACCTGGCCTCTCAGAGCACTGGGATCAGACCCTCCTTACTCAGTTGTCACCAAGAGTTAAAAGAGCCCAGCATGGGGCTTGCACACCGTAGGCTTGGGAAATATCCACTGTTAAACTGACCGTTGAGGCAGAAGGTCTGAGCCCTGGGGAGTGAATGTTGGGCAGTGTCCCCTCCTCACCTCTACTCAGTTGCTGCCCTCTCAGCAGTTATGCACACCTGCATTTTGCCCTCACAAAGGCCCTAGGAGGCAGGGGCTGTGAGCAGTCTCACTTTCCAGATGTGGAAGACAAGGCTCAGAGGTGCACTGACACTTGCCCAAGGCCACACAGCCAGGAAGTGGCAGAGCTGGGACTTGAACCCAGGACTGTAGGGGCCTGCTCGTGACCACCCCCAGATGGGGCGTCGGGGCTCACACTGTCTACATCCCTGCCCTTGAATGTGCTGCTCCAAGGCAGAGGCTGGAGGTGCAGGTCCTTCTCACCCCTGGGCAGAGGGGACATGTCTGGCTCCTGTGGGCGGGGCCCAGGCTCCCTGGCACTAGATGGGTTAACCTCCTTCCCCTTCAGCTGGTCCGCCCCCAGCACATGCCTATCCCCACCCCAGACCCAGATGGCTCAATTAGCTGGCCTGAGCGCTACTGGCTTAGGCGACCAGAATGCTTTTAATGCGACTGTGGAAGCTGAACACTTGGGGCTGGCTAGGTGGACCAAGGGCACAAGCCGCTGCCCCGTCAGCCTGGGAGCCCAGGGTTGGGGAGGGGATGAACACCTGAATTAGAGGGAAGAGGGGAGGGGCGGTGTGCGGAGAGGAAGGAACTGAGTCAGTCCAGGACCTGGGAGTGGAGACAGTGAATTAAGAACTATGTCGTGCTCTCTGTTTTGAGGTGTGACTCTGGCCGTTCTCTTCTCTGAGGCTCGGTCTCCTTGTCTGGAAAATGATGACAACTGCAACCTCCAACCCCCCAGTCTGTGGATGGGTGAGGACTGATCGATGCAAAACACTCAACAGGTACTAATACACTGCAGCTCATTCATTCACTGGTTTAATAAATATTTACCGAGGACCTACTGTGTGAGACTTTGTGCTTGGGGCTGGGGACACAGCAGCAGACAAAAATCCCTACTCTCAGGGAGCTGATATTTGAGTGCGGGAGACAGGTAACAAACAAAGAAACAGACTGTATAACAGAGTGGGGTGAGAGATGGTGTATGGCAGGGCTGCTATTGTTGAGGGAGAGCCTCCCCGAGGAGGTGACCTAGACAAGGCAGGGAACCACGCAGGTACCTGCTGGAAGAGAGTTCCAGGCACAGGAACAGCATGTGCAAAGGCCCTGAGCTAGGGGTGTGCCTGACAGCACCTGGTGGAGGCACAGCGAGAGGCCACCGTGGCGGCAGCAGGGTGAGCCAGAGGACAGGAAGGAAATGACGTGAGGCGGGGCTGGGGCCAGGCCGTGCTGAGGAGCTGGTGTTTTATTCTAAGTATACAGGGGACAACAGGCCAGTGGCATGACCTCACGGAGGATCCAATGGGATTCTCCCAGCTGCTTGTGGAGAATGGACAGTGGGGGGCGGAGGTGGAGGCAGGGAGACCAGGGAGGAGGCTTCCACCATAGTCCAGGCTGGAGGGTGGTGCTGGACCAGGGAGGGGATGTAGAGGTGGACAGTAATGGATGCTGGATCCATCTCGAAAGGACAGCCAAGAGCATTTGCTGATGCTCTGGAGTGGGATGTGAGAGAAAGGAACTGAGGATGACACCCAGGTTTTTGGCCCAAGTGACAGGAAGGACACAGGTGCCACTGACTGAGATGGGAGCCAGGGTTCCCACAACCTGTACCCCATTCGTGTGCACACAAGCGCGCACACACACACACACACACACACACGTGTGTAAGTCGCCATCAGAGTGGCGCAGACACTAGGTAGGTCCCTGGCCCCTGGGGAATCCGAGGCAGGCAGCAGGGCTGCGGGCACTCACCGACTCCCAGCATTACGAGAGGTGTGTGCTCCCAGTGAGCCAGCAGCAGGAGGTGGACCGTGTTGTGGGCGATGAGGCTGAAGCACAGCACCACACAGCACCACTCCTGGAAGCGCTTGCCTGCAGGGAGAGGAGGCGAGAGGTGAGTGCAAGGCGGGTGGCAAAGGCCGAGGGATCAAGGATCAAAGCCAGGCAGAGCTGGGCCCATGGGGGCTCTTCGACTGTGTTCTGAGTCTGCAGTGCTGACTACAGGCTGAACGCAGGGATTGCCTGCCCATTTCACAGATGATGTCACCGAGGCCTGGAGAAGGGGAGGGGCCTGCTGAAGGTCAGACACTCAGGGCCAGGTGTGTTAAACCAAGCCCTTCTGGTGGGCTCTTCTGAGCGCAGGCCCCCTGTGCACAGGTCTGATGCCCATGAAGCTGGCCTTGCATATGCTGATTCTTTGGCAGACAGGACCAGAATACTGGTCTCTTGAGCCCCTTTGGGCTCTCTCTGGAGACATGTGAAGGAATGTTAATGAGCTTCTTTTTTTAACTGTCATCATCCCATCACCTGTCCCCTTTTGTAGGTAATTATTTGGAGGCAGAGGCTACAAACAGCTTTTAATCATGGAGGTTCAGACCCCAACCAACCTCCATCAAGCAGGGCTCCAGGCAATGAGTCAGGAATTCAGGAGAAATAAGGCCTTGGTTATCCCCTCTAGGGCTCCAGCCACAGGGAGAAGAGGCAGTGCCGATGAGGGGGTCTCAAACTCCAGGGGCCAGGCAGGTGATTTGAAGGAGTGAGGTGGGCTGGGTGGGGACAGTGGAACACCACAGCACATGTGCCCTTTCTAAAGCAGTAGCCACTAACTGGCTGACTACTGCCAAGGGGAAGTGTGGGCCCAGGGAGGCCAGACCTTCTAATTCTCAAGAGAAGCCAGCAATCAGGATGTGGGTGTGAAATCGTCTCTTTAAATCTTGGCACCTGTTTTAATAGCACGTGCACTCAGACAAGCTGATTCACTCACTGCAGCTTTGTTGCAGGTATAGAAACTTTGAAAATAACCTTTGTGTCCATTGCTGGGGGACTCAGACAAATTAATTTGGTTTATGGCATCTCTGTAGCCAGGAAAAAAGCCTGGGCGACTGTTAATACGTGGCTATGGAGGGACATCCAGGACAAACTGCTAAGTGCAAACAGCAAAGTGCTAAACAGCCATTTATGTGAAAAAAGGGAAAAAAACCTATACGGTCGAGACTTTTTCACGTACTCCCTTTTGAACTTAAAATTTGTGAATGCAGGACTTCCCTGGTGGCGTGGTGGTTAAGAATCCGCCTGCCGGGCTTCCCTGGTGGCGCAGTGGTTGACAGTCCGCCTGCCGATGCAGGGGACGCGGGTTCGTGCCCTGGTCCGGGAGGATCCCACATGCCGCGGAGTGGCTAGGCCTGTGAGCCACGGCCACTGAGCCTGCGCGTCCGGAGCCTGTGCTCCACAACGGGAGAGGCCACAACAGTGAGAGGC